TCTTGATTAGGTTTTGAATGCAAACAAGCAAAAGATACTCGATCGGCCGAAATTTATATACGCTACCGTATGGCCCCAACAAGCTGCCCACTATTAACTTGGATTGCGATCCAATCACAAGCCTGGTTTCAAGTAAACTAAAGATTTGAGGCAAGTAGTGTTGCTTAATCAATCGTCAAAGATGATATTTTCTCCACACCTTCACGGAGAACCTACGATCTATCATTACATCACATTCCATTGGCTATACAAATATATATCATTCATTCAAAAATAATGTAATGTTGGGTACATGCAGTGGCGGACCCAGAAATTTTATTTAGGGGTGTCCTCTTTTAAAAAATAAATTAAATGAAAGTAAAAAATATAATTATTAAATAAGAAAATACATGACTCGTACAAGTTAAAAAAATGTCTGTGATGTGTTTTCATATTAGGAAATAATTGTAGAATATACTTGGTGTCTACACTGCACAAGAAACATTTCTTTGTATATCTACTAGACAATTATTCATGAACTGATCGCATATTCGATTTCTAAATTTGTTCTTGATATAACCCAAGGTTGAAAAAACTCTTTCAACACTTGTCGTACAACCATGAAATCAATACAAATTAAGGCTAGCTTGAAATTAGTTTAATTGTTAGGTTTTGAAAAATATTAGAGATGGAGAATGACATTTTACTATTACACAGTGTTTAAAATCAAACAACAAAGTAGCCTAATGGAAATTATGTATTAATAATAATCGTGTCCGGGGTTTGAGTTACCCAAACTACCACTTATATTCCCATACGCAATCTAAAAATGTGAGTAGGATAATATTTTTTTAAATTTCAAAGGTGTCCATCAATATCAATTATAATTTTTTTGTCCATACATAAATTACCATTGAAGTTGAAAAATTATTTCCCAAAATTTAGGGGTGTCACAGGACACCCTCAAAGTGCCCTGCGTCCGCCCCTGGGTACATGTCCAAAAATTAAAGGTGGTCATTGGGAGGGTGGGGTGAATTTTGATCTAAAACTAATTTATACTCTTACTAACGGGTTGTCGATCCGCCATCCCCAATTTTTTTTTCTTTTCCTGAGATGGTTCTTAGAGGTGGCGGGTGGACATGGTTTGGGTTTCGGGTTGACCTGCAAAAATAATTTTTCAATTGACTATTAAGAGGGTTGACCAAAATTAATAATAAATTCCACATGAATGAGGAACGTTATATTATGCAATTTTGCCACTTGTGTTTGTCTCCAATGAATTGACTACTAATTGAGATGTGCAAAGTTTTCTATTATTCATACCAATTTTTCATTTGGCTATTTTAGATGAAGTATTGGCTAACAGAGAAGAGAAAAGCAAGTTATGAACCACAAATCCTTTTGGGCTGAAGATTTTCCATGCATAATATGGATTTCGCTATATATGGTAAAAGCTAGTGTACATCTCGACATAATATATCAATTAATTCATTACTCCATTAAACAGTTATAGAGAAAATTGACAATTGTTGCCATTTTGTTGAATAATTTGTGTACTCTGCATCAAAATATTTAATAGACATAAAATAATATAATAACCAATTAAAGTAGTCAAAATATGCTATTTGTCTACCGACTACCGAGTGTTGAAGTTGATGACTAGTGTGATAAGAGATACAAGGACTCCTTAATAGTATGGAGAGAAAAAAAAAACTTAACTTTTGAGATGTGAAACTAGTTGTGGATCATTCATGTGACGCGCAACCTACCTACAACTCACCCATATAAGTGCGGGTAAGAGATATACGGCCACAATCCATCCATCATCAAGTCACTAGGATTCTAGTTTTTTGCAAGTGAGTTGGTCTCGAACCACATATCAACTACTCACTCGAGCATCACTAACAGAAATGAATCTTAATTATAGCTCAAACAAAGTTTTCACTTAACATAATGTCACTTTTCAACTTTCACAAACCTGCATCATCCCCAATGATATTGATATTACCATACTTCAAATTGACGATCTTAACTCAGAATTGTTGAGTAATTTCCAAAATACTTTAGCACACAAGAACTAGCCATTTGAAACCATCTAAGCACTTACTAATTCTAGATTTATTTTTTGTCATCGTTTTCGCACTAGCTTCAGTTTCAAATTAACTACTTGGTCAGAATTGCTGCGGTTGGGCCAGCTATGTTCGAGCCCATCGCTAAATTAACTGTCCAGAAAAAAATGAGAAAGGCTTAATTGCAAGTTTGGTCACTCGAATTGCTATAAAATTTCACGTTTGCCACTCGAATTAATTTATTCCATTTATAGTCACTCGAATTAGTTGAACAGTCCAAGTTCGGTCACTCTCCATTAACCTCCGTTAGACTCCATTAATGACAACCGTTAAGTGATGACGTGGCTAACAGAAAATCACAGTCAGCATAATTTAACACTAAAAAATGACGACCCGACCCGCCACGTCATATTTACCCGTCATGTCAGTCCTTCTTGCCCAACCCGCGAACCAACCCAATGAATTGACCCAAACCCGAAACCCAACCCCCGTGAAAAATATATCGAAACGGAAAGGGTAGGAGCGCCGGACGTTTACTGCAACTCCGACGACGCTTTCCTCTGCTTCCATTGCGACGCCAGAGTTTACAACGCCAACTTCCTCATCTCCCACCACCTCCGCCTCTTGCTCTGCCGGAACTGCCGCTGCCTCACCCAGAACTCCGTTTTCGGACCCAGATCCCTTCCTCACTCCGCCGCCTGCGCCTCCTGCTCCTCGTCGGAATATATATAGCTTGATCCAAATGAATGTCAGTGTCACCCAGTCGTCCAGAGAACAACGGCCCGACAATGAGAAACGTTCGACACGTATTTCTCCGCTTGATGGACTCGACGAGCTCGATTGGAGTTGTTGGCCTTGTGTATCTCCTCCAACGAATCAGGCGAGACGACTAGTGGGTGGAGTGGCAAAATGGAGTCTTGGTCGGCTCTCGTTTGGTCGTTGGTCGACGAGAGTCCCTAGGCTGAAGCTAGGGTTGGGTCGGGTTTTGCCAAACCCAACCCATGGGTTTCTCAGTGATAAAAACCCGGGGTAAAACCCACTGGGTTTGAAAAACTCAAACCCAACCCTACCTGCTGGGTTCCGCGGGTTCATGGGTACCCACGGGTTTTTGTCGTAAAAATTTTACAATAACAAGTTCCTATCAAAATTTAAGTCTAATATCAATCTCTCAATACAAATTATCCATATATAAAATATCATTCTAGAAAATTCAAACAAATCACAAATTAACTATACAAATTGTTCAACACCAATCTAGAAAACTCAAGAAAATTGAAGCAAATTACAAATTATCCATAAATAACATGATTAATTGAAAACTTCTTCCTCCTTGTCAATTAAGTTTCTTCACTCTCCACTCAATAACATCAACTTCATTCTAAACAATTAGAAAGGAAAAATTAGATATGTCTCCACAAACATAAATAAGATTAGTTGTTTAGAAAATTAAACATATCGAGAAAATTAATTATATGGGTGTGGGCGTGTACCCATGGGGCGGATTTACCTAAACTCAAATCCAACCCGTTGAATAGTGAACGGGTTTAAACCCGAACTCGGCCCAAAAACCCGTCAACACGGATTTTACCCGCGTTGACCGGGTTGGGTCGGGTGGGTACACGTGGGATATAGATAGAGATGGCAACCGAACGAGTAGGGACTAGATAGGCATATCCATTACTCTATTCAAAATAGTTTGGCTTTTACTCCATACTCATGCAAGAATCAGGTTGGATGTCAACATGATGCTCATACATGATCGGGTTTCGGATATTCACGGTTAACCATGAATAATAATTTATTTTTATAACTTCAACCGATGAACCAACATGTTAACAATTACACATATATTGACGTTACATAAGTCAAAATTAAAATGAAAAATTACAAAAATGAAAAAATTAGTTAAGAATAATATAATTACATGAGAAAGATAATGATCATTTTTAAACAAAATACATATGCTTGTGTACAATCAGACGAGTTTGGATGGATAGTGAAAAACCATGTCCACCCATCACCCGCAATATTCGGGTTCGAGTTTTACCCATACCCATTAAAAAAAATTGGGTTCGAATTTTAACCACTCGTTTAGGTCGGATTCGGACGAATATATGCATTTATGGTTATTTTTACCACCCCAGAGTTGGAGGTAGGGGTGGGCATCTGATTCGATAAATCCAAACCGAGCCGGACACAAACCAAACTATATCGAATCAAAATCGAATTACTGTTATTCGGTTCAGAATTCAGAAGAAAAATATGGGTAATTAAAAACCAAGATTATTCTGAACCGAAAAACTCGAAATATTGCCCCAACAGTCGACATGAAGTCATGAACCCCAAGCCCACAAGTCCCTTTGCCTGTTGAAACTCTAACCCAGCCCCAACCCTCCAATGGCCCATCTCGTCCCACCGCACAGCGGCCGCCGCCACAGCCCGCCATTCCACTCCTTCGCCTGCCTCTGGGCTCTCCGACGACCGACACCATCAAATTCACCATTGCTCCCTTCAAAAGTGATCAAGGGTTCATCGCTTTTTGCATCAGCGATCTGTGTCCAAATGCGTTTTCCACTTCACCGAATGGGTCGAGTACCATGACCATTCGCTTCCCTCCGTAGCAATGTAAACGGATCGCTTTTCTTTATGCGATTTGTTCGTTGATCGCTTTTGACCTTCAACGCAGAACATTTGTATATTGAGAAATTCCATAAGAACCATCGTATTTTGAGACTTTCTTAAGAAAAGTAGTATACTTTGAGTTGATCATGAAGGCAGCCACACTTAATATGAAGAAACCATCTTTGCCGTTGTACTAGAATAATATGAGGATTTATGAACTTATGGCTTGATGATGATCCGAGACTCCCATCAGAGGGACTATTGCATATTGGTCTGGATCCTGTTTGTGATGGAACCAGGAACCTGCTTTCGCAAACGGATAGGTACATACAATGTTGATAGAATATGAACCCAAAAAGAAAACTTAATTAAACTCATAAATATGAACCGAAAAAACCAGTACTCTTCTTTTTTCCATTCGTTGCACAGGAAAATGTTTCAAATTTGCACTCGTCCAAAGCGATTATTGTAGCGAAAAGGGCACTCCTAGAGGTCTCGCCGCTAAAAAGTACAGATTATAGAGTGAAAAAGAAAACAAAAACCTCAATTACACCAGCTTCCCAATGAACAATGCTCTAATCAAACACTTGGCTTATACTCCCCCCGAGCTCTATATTGCCGAAAAGTACTCTTTGCTCCCTTTTGGGTCAGGCTTCATCGACTTGTCCCCAGGCTTCCACCCAGCTGGGCACACCTCGTCTGGGTTTTCCTGCACATACTGCAACGCCTGCAATAGAAAAAGAGAGGGGCGACGCCGGCTTTCCATTAGTATGTTTATCGCGAAGATAAGCTTTCCGAGACATGATTAACAAAGCCATCTGATCACCTGAAGTGTTCTTAGTGTCTCGTCAACACTCCGCCCAATAGCGAGATTGTTGATAGTCGAGTGCTGGATGACTCCCTCCTTGTCGATGATGAAAAGTCCTCTCAAAGCAATTCCCTAGCGATGATAGTGAAAACACATTATGACAGTATATTTCTTTTTCGGTAATTATTCGACAATATTTTTCAAAGCATAGGTATTGCTGATTTAGCAATAGTTTGCTTATAGGCCATGTAAAAAGATAGTAAGAAGTAAGAACTCCCATTTTGGATTGGAAGGAGTAGTTGTACCTGGTCAGGGATAAGGACTCCGAATGATTTGGAGATTGATTTAGTGACATCGGATACCAAAGGATAGTTCAGATCGCCAAGGCCGCCTGATTTTCTATCGGTTTGGACCCAAGCAAGATGCGAGAACTACAACGAGACACCAAATGATTAGAACATGTTAAAGCATTTTCGGAGCTTAAACTAACATGCAAACTACAAAACTAAAAACTTTTGGTTGTCATGGAATGCAAATAAATGTGGCCTTATATAGAGTTTTCTGCTTCTAAAGGCATACATAGAATTTCATTCCAAGATGACGAGAATCATTTCTCTATGTAAATTTGGCTGGTTTATGCTGTAAGGATATGCAAGAAAGAACGCATTTGCAAACAAATCTGCATGCTCACTCATCATAATACTCCTAAAGACTCCAACTTACCACACTATCAAATGAGACACCCATGTAAATATGGTTGGTTATGCTGTAAGGATATGCACGAAAGAACGAATTTGCAAACAAATACAAGTATTCAGTCATCATAACACTCTTAAAAACTTTTGGTGGTCACTGGATGAAGCACATGTGACCTTTTATAACGTTTTGGGCTTCCAAAGGCATACAGATTGTCAGGACAATATCATAACTTCCTTGGAACTTCATTCCAAGATGAAGAGAATCATCTCTCCATGTACATATGGTTGGTTTAAGCTCTAAGGATATGCAAGAAAGCACACATTTGGAAACAAATGTAAGTATCATAATACTCTTGAAGACTTCAACTTACCACACTATCAACTGAGACACCCAAAATTTCAGTGTTGATCTTCTCAAATTCTGCATGTCGGTCGCTGAATGCAGTGATCTCTGCAAGCAGGACGGGCAGGAGGTATAAGAAAAAAGGTACCAAAAAGGAACTATCACCATTAATCCATGTCCAAAATCATACCACACTTTTTTTTGAAGCGCAACAAAACAAACCTGTCGGGCAGACAAAGGTGAAGTCCAGTGGATAGAAGAAAAGGATAACATACTTCTTTCCAATGTATTCGGAGAGCTTAACCTGCAACGAATTCAAGAACAAAATTGGATTCCTCTTACGGCAATGAGTAATGCAGAAAACAGCAGGAAAGGAACTACATTTTCACCACAGCATTAGCCCCTTTTAAACTGAGTTGACAGCAATAATACCTTGATGAATTCCTGGTCAAAAACAGCTTCGGCCTCAAAGTCCGGAGCTACATTTCCAACCAGCGGAAGCTCACTCTGCAAACAAAACGCGCAACATACAAACAGAATAGCTATTACCCAACTGAAACCGTACATCGTAATTCGAAATCGCAATGTGGAAAGGTAAACCGACTAATTTAGCGGAAATTGAAGAGGAAGGGGGGTTGAGAGAATCATACAGTAGCTTTGATGACGAAGCTCTTCCTGCGGGCGAGGTTAACGGAGGAGCGAGCATTGGCGAAGGCCGAGGATCGGAAGAGGGGGTTGCGGAGGCCGAAGAAGGAGTTGGGGAGAGGGGCTAGGGTTTTAGATAAGGGAGAAGTCATTGATTTGGTGGCCGGGATGGAGGAGGAGATGAGAGCGGCGGAGGTAGCTGAGCACGCCATGGCGTTTCTGCCGGCTGGAGGCTCCGGCAGGTGGTGGCGGTGAGAGTGACTGAGTGGGAAGTGGCGGAGAAAGGAGAGTGAAGCAGGTGGTGGGAAATGGAGGGCGGGGGAGGATGAGAAGATAAATAAAATGCTCAGAGAAGGAAAGGAAAGGAAAGGTCAAGATGGAGAGGCAGTGGCGTTAGGTTGTTGATAGATGGGTTGGGTTTGTTTTTGTCGTTGGTGGATTTGATTTAAGGATCCACATTCATATGGTATATACCCTTTTGGAGTTGAGCATTAGGGATAACTGGGGATCAAATTTGATTCAACCCCATACACTTAAAAGGATAGTTTGGATGTGGTATTAGTCAAATATGTTATTTGGGAGTCAAGTATCACACGTCATAATATTTGTTATTTGTTATGTGGTATTTGTATTTGTATGAAATCTCATATTTTGATGAATTATAAGTAGTGATATTGTTGATGTGATATTTGCACTCAAATTTGTTATTTTACTAATTTGTCCTTCTTAACCCCATCTCTTGCCAGTGTGTGGATGCTTCGATCAACATACATACATTATACTATTAATATTAACGGAGTTATATATGACATTTTAACATAATAGCGTGTTAAAAGATCCAAATTAGTTATAAAATATTTTAAAAATGCATATGGTACTAATAATTACGTAGTTCATATGGCTTTTAATAGAATAGTGTGTCAAGACATACTAAATTTTTGTAGATACAAGTACAGCCCTATCAAAACTCCTTAATAGAGTAGTTCATAGTTTCCAACTATTTGGAAACACAATGCACTATAACTTCACAAAACAGGTTTGGCCCAAATATTCCATACAATCCAGCTTCGTAATCACTCCATATCATAATCGAAAAGACTTCTACACCTCTCTGTTGTTTATACAACACACAACCATCTAGTCTCTGTTTCTCTACTACACTCAAGGATGCGGCACTTTGTGAAAGCTTGGTAAAATATAAAGTTTGGAATGAAACCCGCAAGGGTTTTGGTTGTCACAGAGGGCCTTTTATATACTGAAGAAGAACAGGAAAGCTGTACATGTAAACACTGTTTAACGGTAACTAAAACAGAAAATTAAACTAACTATACGACAACTAGCTATCTATAGTGTAAATGGAAACGGTAGTTGCTTAGGTGAAACGATGGTTGCTTAACTCAGCCCATTTGTTGCTTCGTAGGAAAACGACCCCGTATCACGAGCTCAGTCAGCAACCACCATAGACAGTTTCTTCAATCTTCAACCTCCAGCTCTGCAGATCGTGATAGCCTCCCTCAAGCTTACGCATACAGGTTGTGTATGTTCAGCTTGGACATCAGAAACTGGAGTCGATGTCGACTAAGTCCTTTTGTGAATAAATCAGCAATCTGATTCTCCGTATCTAGATGACTTAGCTTAATAAGCTTGCATTGAAGAAACTGTCGAACAACGTGGCAATAAATCTCGATATGTTTCATCCTCTCATGGAAGACGGGATTTTCTACAATGTAAATCGCAGATCGATTGTCACGGAACAGCTGTACAAGTTGAGGATGTTGGATGATCAGTTCTTGTATCAGTCGCTTAACCCAAACAACTTCACAGGCTAGCTGAGCAAGCGCTCTGTACTCAGCTTCAGAGGAGGACCTCGAAACAGTACCTTGTTTCTTTGATTTCTAGATACTCAATGATTTCCCAAGTGTAATGCAATACCCTGTTGTAGACCTCCTCGAATCTGGACATGATGCCCAATCAGAGTCACAATATCCCTGTAAGAGAAGGTTTGATTGAGATGGATAGATTAAACCTTGTCCTAGTTCATTCTTCAGATACTTGAGTATCCTGTGTGCCAATTTGATATGAGATGAAGTTGGAGCAGCTTAAAATTGACAAAGCTGTTGGACGGCAAAGGTGATTTCTGGTCGTGTGATGGTGAGGTAGTGCACCCTGCCAACAATCTTCCTGTACAGAGCTGGATTCTCAAGCAATGGTCCATCATCAACAGTTAAATAGGTCTTCATATCAATTGGAGTCACTACTGGTTTGCTGTCAGCAAAACCAGTGTCTTGTAAAAGATCAGTACAATACTTGCGTTGACATATATGCAAACCCCCTAGTGATCTAGCAATCTCTAAACCAAGAAAGTAATGAAGATTGCCTAGATCACGAATTTTAAATTGGGATTGCAAGAAAGCCTTAAGATCTGTCATGCCTTGATCATCATCCCCACTCCCCAGCAATGATTATATCATCGACATAGACTAATAAAACATAAGTTCCATTATCTCCATGATGAATGAAAAGGGAATGATCACTTTGAGATTGAACATACCCAAAACTGAGTAAGGCTGAAGTCAACTTAGAGAACCATTGACGAGAAGCTTGTTTTAAACCATAAAGGGACTTCTTTAGACGACAAACAAAACCATCTTGGGGAAGTCCTTAAGGTAAATCCATATACACTTCATCATCCAAATCTCTATGAAGAAATGCATTACTAACATCCAACTGGTCCATTGACCAATTCTTAGCAACTGCAATGGCCAAAAGGGTCTTGACAGAATTCAACTTGGCAACAGGGGAATAGGTTTCCAGAAAATCAACTCCATAAATTTGAGTGGAGCCTTTGGCAACAAGCCTAGCTTTATACCTTTCAACTGTTCCATCAGAATTATACTTGATAGTGAACACCCATCTACAACCAATTGGTCTTTTCCCAGTAGGACAATGAACCAAATCCCAGGTTCCATTAGCTACAAGAGCTCTAATCTCCTCATTCATTGCATTTCTCCACCTTTCATCTTGCATAGCCTCCTCAAAGGTTTTAGGCAACAAAGCAGCATCCACATCACAAACGTACTTCCTATAGTCCAGAGATAAATTATCAAAGGAAATGCAAGCAACCAATGGATATGAATGTTTGTCAGTATTGGTGTTGACAGTCAGGACATAATCCTGATATTTGACAGGTGGTCCTGTGTGTGTAGGTTGTTTGCGCAGAGCAATAGGAAGTGAGGGAGAAGAAGGTAAAGTGGTATGTGCTTAACTGTGATCAGTAAAGGTGGTAGGAGTGGTAATTTGGGGAGATGGAAAAGGAGATACAGGGTCTGATACAGGTTCTGGTTATGGATTTGGTGGACTAGAAGAAGAAGAAGAAGGTAAGTTGTCTGTAGGAGGAAATGGATTATCTGGAGGAAAGAAAGGAAAAGAGTTTGGTGAGGTTGAAGGTTGAGGGACATGAGAGTTTCCAGTAAGTAATGTAGAAGAATCAGAAGAAGGAAGAGGAAGACAAGGGATTATATTTTCATGGAAAATCACATGTCTAGAGAAGAATACCTTCTGATCTGTAAGGTCATACAAACGATAACCTTTGATTCTAGGTGGGTAGCCTAGGAAGACACAAGGTTTAGCTCTAGGTGAGAATTTAGTTCTGTTATGTGTCAATGTACTAGCATAGCACAAACACCCAAAGACCTTTAGGTTTGATAAGTCAGGAGGAGAACCATACAGTTATTTATAAGGTGTCTTATTTTGTAAATATACTGTGGGCAATCTGTTTATCAAGTAGACTGCATGGAGAACAAAGTCTGACCAGAATTTAAGAGGTAAGTCAGATTGAAACTTCAGAGCTCTAGCAACATTTAAAATATGTTGGTGTTTTCTTTCTACTCTAGAATTCTGTTGTGGAGTGGCAACACGTGACATTTGATGGATAATTCCATGTTGAGAGTAGAAATTAGGGATATGAAATTTAGCCCCTTGGTCTGATCTGATGATTTTGATGTGTTGGTTGTATTGGGTGCTAACTAGAACACAGAAGTCTTGCAACAACTGTCTAGCATCAGTTTTATGCTTCATGAGATAAATCCAAACACATCTAGATCTATCATCAACTAGTGTAAGAAAATACTGATATCCATTGTAACTGGCAGTGGCCAAAGGCCCCCCAAATATCTACATGAACAAGTTCAAAATTGCTCTTTACCACAGTTTGGCTTGAAGAAAATGGTAAGTGTTTCTGTTTGGAAAGGTGACAAACATCACAATGAGAAAAAGATCCTATAAAAATGTCTGGCATAGTCTTCTGTAGTTCTTTGACTCGAAAAATTGAAGGATGACCAAGCCTCCAATGTCATAGATCAAAGGATTGGGGTGCTAAGTTTTGATTCTTAGATCCATCAGGTAAGGTTATGAGGATACCTTGGACAGGTTCATACTTTAAGAAGTTGGGAACAAAACAGGTGACATGATCAGTGGCACTCGTGTCAAGGAACCAAACACTGACAAATTCCATTGGATGCTTAACGAAGTATGAATTTAAAGTGAATTTACCTGAGAAGTTAGGATTCACAGATAGGTGCCTACTCAGTGAGTTGACCATAGGAGTTGGTTGCTGATTGACTGAAGCCAGGTTTAATCCTCCGTAGAGAATGAATTCGTTAACCCTTTCAGCTCATTCAGACCATAGGAAGGAACTGCACAAGTTCTTCCCAAAACCCTTTCAGCTCAGAGTAAAATTGGTTAACAGATTTGTTACCTTGCTTAAGAGTATAGAGAGCAGTTTGTAGATCTGTGATTCTGATGTTGTCTGCCTGCCCAAAACGCTATCTGAGATCTTCCCATAAGAGCCTTGCATTGTCTTGTGAAGAGACACTATCAACCAAACTTGGATCCAGGGAACCCAAAATCATAAAGTATAGTGCTGTGTTGCTTTGCTCCCATGGAGCATGGGTCTCTGCAGCTGGATCTGATGCAGTAATCGACCCATTGATAAATTCGAGCTTGTTTTTGCTCTTGAGGGCAACGCGAACAGTTCTGCTCCATAAATTGTAATTTCCAGTCCCTGTGAGCTTGATTGGAAAGACTAACGACTCATTTGGGTTAATGTAGTAGGGGTTTGTGACGATACTCAGGTTGGTGAGAAGAAGAAGAAGAAGAAGAAGAATCAGTAGCCATCGTTGATGAACGCTACTGCAAACGAAGAATGCGGGTATGAAGAGGGTGTAGAAACCCTAGAAAGCCCAACCAGACTCTGATACCATGTGAAAGCTTGGTAAAATATAAGGTTTGGGATGGAACCCGCAAGGGTTATGGTTGCCTCAGAGGGCCTTTTATATACTGAAGAAGAAAAGGAAAGATGTACATGTAAACACTGTTTAACGGTAACTAAAACCAAAAATTAAACTAACTACCAATGGAGAAACGACAGCTAGCTATCTACAGTGTAAATGGAAACGGTAGTTGCTTAGGTGAAACGATGTCGCCTGAACTCAGCCCATCTGTTGCTTCTGAGGAAAATGACCCTGTATCACGAGCTCGATCAGCAACCACCATAGACAGTTTCTTCAATCTTCAACCTCCAGCTCTGCAGATCGTGATACACTTGGAGCATGAGCTGCTGCAATTGAAGTAAGAGCAGCCAGCCAAACACTTGCCAAGTTGTTTTGCACCATTCTAGCAGTGGCCTCCATGCATGTAATCAGTAGCAGATACATGGCTGTTTAGGGGTGTCCTGGGACACCCCTAAGATTTTGAAACACGATTATTCAACCTCCGATAGTAGTTTGCGTATGAGCAAAAAAAAATATGTTTAAATGGTAGTGGGACACCCTTAAAATTTGGGGGAAAAGATTATCCAACCTCCAGTAGTAGTTTGTGTATTGGTACAAATAATATTTAAGTAGTAGTCTATGTTATTTAAACTTGGGATACTGCCACTATTAGTAAACATATTTTCAATTACACTACAACTAATTTGTTATTGTGTTTTAGATCCAAATACAATAGTGAAATGTTATTCTTATCACAAATTATTTTCAAAACCTAACGATTAAACCCAATTACGGGATACCCTTGTCTAGTAAGATTAGGAATGACAATGGGGCAGGTCTGGGGCAGGTATATAGATACACATACCCGGGCCATGGCAGGTCAAGTCCAGGGCGGGTAATTTATAATGGGGCGGGGGTCGGAGCAGGTCGACCCAATGGGTGTGTAATTTATGCAACAAACATTAGAAATATTCGTTATTTTTATTAAAAGAGCAAGAAAGAAACTATAGTATGACAAAATGTAGTTAAATTATTGAAGAAATTGAGGTTTTAACCTATTTACAACTTTATTATAGCTAAAATATGATGTAATAAGAGGAAAATCCCAAGTAATTTGACTAAAATTGCATGTAATTTAGGCAAGAATGGCTCAGGAATGGGACGGGTCAGGGCAGGTGGGGTCGATGAGAGGTACCCATGCCCGCCACGCCCCAAAACAGGGCAAATAGGTCAGGTAATCCCTAAGTAGGATATGTCGAGAGATATTTGTTGAGCAGTATAGACACCGAATGTATTTTACGAAACACGTTTGAACTTTTAATATTACTTTTACTAGTCAGATATTTTCATATTTAATTTAATTATTTAATTAAATTTAACTTTTAAAGAGGACACCCTCATTTAGAATTCTTGGATGCGCCCCTGCATGTAATACTATAAAGTTGTTGAGTTCAACATCCATTAAGCACTTACAGACTCAAAATTGGAAGAACTCTGCGGTTCTAAGGAAGCTAAACCCACAACCAGGAAAGAACACTCAAACGGGTCTGGTCTCTAATTCTAACTTTGACAAGATTCATGACCCCCCAAATACGATCATTTCACAGTGATTCCTCCATGGAAACAAACTAAAGGCAGCAATGACGGAGAAGATTGTTATTTAAGCAGCCAAAATGTTCTGCAATCATGAAATAAGGAGAATCAGTTAAACCACAACGCAACTCCTATGAACAGCTAGCTTTGAGCTAAGCACGACATCTTCTAATGCCGTGGTAAACAAAATCAAATTCAGAACCTTTCAACCCATTGGTAAAGCTTCTTACTACTACTAATATTCAATTACAGTACTCACGATGTAATCACCACTAACCCAACCCGCTATCTCTCTTAACTATCAAAACAAAGCAAGCTAATACTCTGCTACACCATGCAGATACATATGAGGTCTCCTAAATATAAACGCGCATAACTAAGGAATTCTAGGAAAGCTACTGCGGGAAAATACCTGATTTGCAAGGAAATCAGAAAACAGGATTTGATGCCAAAACAGGCTTGCTCAAAGTGGATTTGTTGGCAATACCTTACCTGCAGAATCCGCAACAGATGTTGTTCTTGGTCTGGATAGACTCGTAATCCATCGACCTGAAACTCACATCAAGGAAACAGAGCCTGCGTTTCTCCTACTTCATACTGTTCTTTGTTGAAGGACGCGACTCGGAGACATAGTCCACGAGACTCTTAAAAGATTAGCAATAACTCATAGCGCACGCTAAATTGATAAGGTTTTATCTGCGTTCATAAGGGCGAATTATCTGCTATAACAAGTAGAAATTCCGAACCCCAGATCAGCCTTCCCCATTCCAAAATCAGACAAGCAAAGCTTGAACAGAAGAGCTGATATGATACGAAGAATGGTGATCTAATTCAACCAAAACTTCTACGGAACATTCCTCTTGCAACTACAAATATAGATGTTCAGAACACGACCAGAAAACACAACATGCAAGCACGGCTAGATATAGAGTCTAAATTCCCAACCATCCAAAAATGCCTGATAACATGGTAACCCAGTAGCAAAAGTTGTGCAACCTCTAAAGCTTGAAAAAGAAAAAGGAAACGTCTAGTTCATCCTCCTGATGAGCTCATTGATATAATCCTCACGGTTTCCAGCATCACCACCTTCCACATAGTGGTTCCTCTTCTTCTTCAGGCCACCTAATGGCGCGCTCAGCTTGAATGGCCATAGGAAGTTGTTGGCCTCCTTGAAATGAGGGCCAACAGTCATGATCTCGTGAATGAGATCTTCAACACAGATGATGCCGAACTTTCCGAGACCCTGCCAAACATTTAAAAACAAATCATTGAGTATTGTGTTTGTAAACTAAGTAGCAACAATACAAACTAGAAAGGTACAGCAGAAGGCTCGCAAGGGTTAAATACCTGCTCAACAATGGCATTGTCGGTCAAAGGAATTCTCTGCTTGTCAAGCTTGCCAAAACCCCTCTTGTATATCAACTCCTTGACGGATTTAAGATTAGGGTACCTGATATACATAACAATAAAGTCAGATTCATAAGGAGCCAACCCCATGCATGAAACTCGGTAAAGATAAGAGCTTGGAAAACATGTTTTAGTGCAAAAGACAATAAGAACCCATACCCATAAGTCACATATGGCTCCACTCTCCGTAGCATGTTGACTGTAGCCTTGTTGACCTTGAGGAACACACCATTGAAGATCTACACAAGAGAATTAGGGTTCAGACACGCATTTAGATAGTAAAGACTAGGAATGAACATCACATGAAGTAGGAAATTACCTGTCTAAGACGGAACAGCTGCAAGATCTTTCTAGTCTTTGGGTCCATGGCATTAATACTAACAACAGACAGTGATATTCCAAAGTTCAGAAACAGCCACTTTGCGGAAAACATGCATCAAAACAGGGTAATAAACCTAAAATAGAAGAGGCTTACCCACGAATGCGGACAATGAACAACAGCTTGGCCTCTGGGCTGACATAGAAACCACCCTTGAGTTTGGCCTCTCTCTTCAACCTGATCAACTCCCTCTCCTGCATCAGAGCGAGAGGGTCAAATTGCCACAACCAGTAACTCTACCAACAATGCGAACAAATAATTTCTAAACCAAATTGGACAACCAAATACAGCAGTGGTTAGAGATGCAAACCCCGTCCTTGTACTCCTTGGAGTATTGTTCGGCCCTCTTGAAGATGATCTTTCTGTTCTCGGCACTCTTCTTCTTCTGTGCCACTGCTGCCTGGGTCTTTGCCAAAGCCCACTCGTCATTTCTCTTCCTCTTCTTCAAAACAGACTCGGGAACAATAGCGGCTACCTTAGCTTCTTCGGCCATCTCTACTCTACCTCGCCAGAAAGCAAGAAACAAACGCAATCTAGAATATCAAACACAATAACTCAATATAAGCGACTATGGGAGCCAATCAGTGAAGCAGAACATGTTGTTCAAACAACAAAAATATGATCTAGCTAACCAAAACAAAGTTATTGCGTTCACCACGCATAGTCTAGATCCACATGATTAAAATCCCTAAGCATGCTAGAAGACGAAGACGAAGACGAACAAGTGGAATCGGCGACCTTACGAAAATTCTGCAGCAGCTAGACAATGGAAAGGCGAAAGGAAGAAGATTAAGCTGGCGCAAGAAATATTGGACCGAGAGGAGATTCTCGCTTACCTCTGATAAAAGACTGCAGAGGATTTCTGGAGCTCCAATGGGTTGTAGGGCGGCCTGAAGGAGATGAGAAAGGAGATGCCTAGGGTTTTTATCGCAGTGGTTTTAAACATAAACCTAGAGCGTCCTCCTTGTATCTGAGCTAGGTCCAAATTTTGGGCCGAACTTGTAGTCTGAGCAAGGACTGGCTTAAACAACTAGCCCAGCCCAGCCCAGCCCAGCCCAAATTTCGGCTCATCTTTCTCGCAACCATTTTTAACTTACTGGAGCTACAGCCTTTAGCTGCTAAGATTTCTCCAGATAGCCCTTATCCTTCTCCGCCACAATCTTGCTCCCTTCTTCTTCTCCCTCGCCGGAACCAGACGAAAACGCCTGCGCCACCACTCGTCTCTTCCGATGAGGTAGCCGGAGAAAAGAAAAAGAAAATGGTGGAAACGCTCAATCTCCTCGCCAATGGTAAATCCTCGCTTCCCTGCCTTAAACCCATCAATTTCCCTTCCCAGAATCATGATTCCCCTTTACTCTCTCGCCCTAGCACTCGCCTCCACTTCCCCATTCTCTCCTCCAAAACAATCACCGCCGTTTCCGTGCCTTCCAAGCCCGCCTCCGCCGCAGCAATTCGAGTAACCCCCAACCCATCGCCGCCCAGGCCTCCGCCTCCGTCGTCCGATTTCCAGGAGAAAATGTACTACCTGGACTCAATCGGCCTCGACGTATTCTCCCTGGCCAGGGACCACCGACCCATCCTCCTCTCCGCCTCCCTGCCGGAAATCAAATCCATCATCGACTTCCTCACATCAATGGACTTCACAGCCCAGGACTTCCGCCGCATAGTCTCCATGTGCCCGGAATTCCTCACCGCCAGCGCCTCCTCCGTCATCCCCGTCTTCACCTTCCTCCTCCGCGAGGCCGGCGTCCAGGGTTCCGACATCCGGCGGGTCGTCCACCGCCGGCCCAGGCTCCTCGTCTCCAGCGTCAAGCACCGGCTCCGCCCCAGCCTGTACTTCCTCCAGAGCATCGGGATAACGGCGGCGCACAGGCACACCTACTTGCTGTCCTGCAGCGTGGAGGACAAGCTGATCCCTCGAATCCAGTACTTCGAGGAGATCGGGTTCTCGCGCAGGGAGGCGGCGGCGATGTTCAGGAGGTTTCCCCAGCTGTTCAATTACAGCGTGAGGGACAACATCGAGCCGAAGCTGAATTACTTCGTGGTGGAGATGGGTAGGGAGTTGAAGGAGCTGAAGGAATTCCCCCAGTATTTCTCCTTCAGCTTGGAGAACAGGATCAAGCCGAGGCACCAGTGCTGCGTGGAGAAAGGGGTTTGCTTCCCTCTGCCCGTGTTGCTGAAGATGAAGGATGTTCAGTTTCGGCAGAGGGTGCAGCTTCTCAGTGAGTCTTCGCTTCCATTCAGTTCCTCTCCTCTGTCCCGGGTAGATTTTGATCCCCCATTGTAGTACAGTACAGAGTATGAGAAAAGCCAGAGAGGAATTGTGTTATTGTTTGGGGATTCTGTATCTCGATGAGCTGCTGATTCTGACGAATGTAAATGGGTATAGCTCGGGTTACTATGTTGGTGACTGAACTTGTTGGGGGGGGTTTGAGCATAATCTGGCGGGTTAAGTGAGACTAAAGTTATGAGGGAATCTGTTGAAGCAACTTGTTTAGTGATGGACGTTGGCGGCTATAGGAAGAAATTTAGAGATGCGTGGAGGAAATGCCATTTCAGTGTGTCTAGGAAATCAAGATCCTGAATGACAAATGGATTTCCGGTAACTCATCTTGCATCCCAAAATCAAGGATTGAAATACAATATTCTGGTTCCATCAGAAAAAATTTCCTAGTGTTTTACAGAAAAAAAATTATGTTGAATTGAGATTGATTGCACTTTTGATTTATTTGGACAACGATTACTAAGACACGGCTCACAACTCTTTAAGCAAAGTTCAAATGAGGGTGTTTGATTGATCGTTTATGGGAATGAAAACTAAGTTAAATTACCCTACTCCTATGTAGATTCAGTAAGAGCTTCAAACTAAAGACTACTTCTATGGCTACATGATAAAGAAAAGGTAAAACATAAACTTAACATGTGTGTCAGAGTGTTGGTTTTGAGAACCCTTGTCTCTGTCGACCCTTCCACCTATTAGTAGCCATGGGGAGTTAACGGTCGTAGAAAAATTGTCTCTTGGATAACTCCCAAAAAGAATCGTTCCCTACTACCTCGAATTGGTGGTTACTCGTTCAACCGCCTAAGTGCCTCTTTTCGAACCGTCATGGGTCTTGGAGTGTAGTTTGACTCTCGCGGTCTTGTTCCGAATCTCGGGTCATACTAGTCTTTTGATAAGCATGTGGTGCCTCACAAAGGGGGTCATGGTCCTCTTGCCTCGAGGCCATGGACTTCTTACTCATGTTCATGGCCCTCTTGTCTCGCGGTCAATGACATCTTGTGACTTAACGGCATGACTAGTGATACAATACTCCACCACCACGCCCTTCTCACTCTTGCTCGTGGCCTCTCTCTTGAGGCGGCATGGACCTCTCAATCAGGCACATGGCCCCTCTCGTGAGGCGGCATGTCCTTCCCAGACTTAGTATATTTTGGGTCGTTCGGTCTTGGTCATGAGGCAACATGGCTTCTCATATTTAGTATTTTTCAATCGTGTCTAATGCTTCTTGCTTCGTGTCTATGGTCCTTCTCGTTAGGCGCATGGACCTCCCAAACGTAGAATATTTTCGTCTGTCTTTGAAATATGCTTTTTATTGCATAGCCTCTTGACTTGTAACCATACCATGTGCTTTTCATCCCCGCCATGGCCTATGTAATCCTCGGTGGAAATACTTCCTCGCTTCCATAGCTCATCTCGTGACACGGTCATGGGTAGGGCTACAAATGAGCCAAGCTGCTCACGAGCGACTCGACGTTCGGCTCGAAAAAAAGTTCGTTCGAGACTCAACTCGCTTACTAATGAGTCGAGCTCAAGTTGCGCCTTATTCAGCTTGTAAGGCTCGCGAGCCAGCTCGACTCGGTTGTTTGTTGAGCTAACTCGTGAGTTATGAACTGGCTCGATAGTATGGTTAGCGAGCCTGCTCTACTAGCAACTTAAGGACGAATCGATTAATAACTTATTAGTTGGCTTGTTGATCATTCATACATTAGTTAGATTACATATATCAGCATATAAATTGTTTAAGACTGTCATAAGTTGTTTAAATACTAATTATTATTAAATAACATCATATGCAAAAATAAAATTTATGAACTAAATAAAATGATACCTAAGCTAGAGTCTATCTCGCGAGCTGGTTGATGAGCCAAACTCGAGTAGAGCTCGGCTCTGCTCATTTGCAGCCCTAGCCATGTACCTCCCAATCATGCACAAGCCTCTGTGAGGCGGCATGGCTGACACAGTATTTTTTCAATCATGCCTATTGTTTCGCGTCTATGGCCCTTCTCGTGAAGCAACATGTGCTTCTCATACTTATAATAATTTTTTTATCTTCTTTGAGATATGCTTCTCGTGGCATGATCACGTGCTCCAAGAATTTTTTCACGTCCATGGTCCCTCTCGTTGAGATGACAGGTACTTCTAGATTGTAGACGGACATGGCCCTCTTCATGAGGCGGCACATGCTTATAGATCTATACGGACATGACCCTTTCCGTGAATCGGCACGTGCCTCTAGACGGTCATTGTCATTCCAGACTTAGTTCTTTTTATACAATCTCGTGGCATGGCATGACCTCTTACGAGAAGCCTATGTCCCTCATTGAATCATGTATATGCTCACTATGGCTTAGTAGCTTGGGCTTAAAATCAATATCGATAAAGACCCAACTTAAATAACATTAATTGTTATAATTGATGTGGACTTATAAATTCATTAGTTTTCTTCTAGCTCATAATGTGGTACATGACAAATTTATGGTGTAAACAGAAAGCGAACCGGTAGACATAATATAGCGGTATGAAAAACTTCAACAATGAGTAAATCACGATTTCAACGAAAAATACTCTCCGTCTTATCCCCTGTTCTTCGAAAATCCACTTCTCGTTTCACAATACCGGCGACCCCCCCCCCCCCATTCCTCGAGATTAGAAATAGTGCTAGGTAATTTGGGTGGTATTAAAGGAGTGGTTTTCTGCAAATGTCGGTTAGAAGGCGTAATGAGAACTTCTCGTACTTCCAAGAATCCAAATCGGCAATTTTGTCCCGAAATCTTAATGCTTTCAAACTTATTTGTTATCTCTAGTTAGCACAATTATACTTCAATGGAAGCTATAGTGTTGTTAATACTGTAGCTCATGGTTTCTAATAAGGGTCTTAGTTGTTATGGCTTTTTCGAGTGGTGTGATGTTGCGCACCATGAGAGACCGGGGAGCAGGTTTTCTGAAAAGGATAGTCGAGTTACATAATCAAGTTGTCGAACTGAAGGACGAGAATTGTATACTAGTTACCAACTCGAGGGTGAAGTAAACAGTCGAAGTGAATCCAATTTTGCAAGCATGGAATCCAACCTTGTTCTGGAGGTAGAAGTGCTAAATCGAAAATGAGGTTCTCAAATTGATGAGTCAAATAGTGATTAGTTAGAAGGTTGTGAGTAGTGTGTGGTACTTCTGTAGTTGTTAGTTAGGAGCATGTGAGTAGTGTGTGGTACTTGTGTAGGTGGTAGTGTTTGTTGACTCCTATTGTTGATGTTAGAACATAGTAATGAGTTGTTTGTAATCGTGTTATATAGCTTAATGTAATGCTCTAATTGTACTTATAATGTAAGTGTTCATTTATCTCCTGCACGAACTTTAGGTTTTGGTTTTTCTTCTAGTACTTGCTGGACTCATGCTAAAATCTGCAAAACAAAAAAAAAATTTGAAACTCAAGAAAGACACAAGATGGTTAGATATTTTTAAATATGATTAGAAATCTCCGGCAACGGCACAAAAACTTGTTGTATAATCTAGTGATAAAATTCTAGGAGGCTCTAGGGTTGTATTCCCCGAAGTCTTCTAATGCACAACTACTCACACTAACCATCCATGACATACACGAAAATCAGAAAGACGTTAGGGTTTTCATTTAACAAACAAGCAAAGCAAGAAGGAGTAAGGTTGTTTAGAGGTTTTCGATTTATAAATGCATAAAGTAAAGATACGTTATTCTAGAAGGTAGCAAACTCGAGTACTGTCATGCATACTATACTAGGGCTCATTCATAACATGCATTGATGGTTCATCTACTGTAACACCTTGTCCCTTCCTCTAATGTCACTCTCTACCCATGCATGCGCCTCTTGCGATATAGATTTAACTAGCTAATGTGTGATTTCGCTTCATACCATTAACTAATCAATGAAGAACAAGGAAGTTAGAATAGCATACATCTAATTGTGGACTTCTACGAACCATAATCATAGACTATAGCATCGATGATCTAACAATCAAGCATTGATACTACTCGAAGTATAGATGGTTGCTCATTCCCTCTATAATCGTGTAGCATCAATGGGGTATCACTATAGAGTAATTTATTATCAATCTACAAAATATTAAGCACAATGCATATAGTAGCATTCAATAGAATCATAAGCATCGATTATTAAAGAAGCATTATACTATAGAAACATCAATGTCAATCACATAAGCATCGAAAATAAAAGCATCCATACATAGGTAATAGGCATCGAGATTTTCATAGAAAAACACAACAATGAGATGAAATCATATAGGAGAAGAAAGGTGCTACCATTGATGATGACAACATTTTCTTAGTTGCAGACCCTCTATTTCGACTAGGCTATCACTCGTGTAGCCTTACTAATCTAATGAGTCATGACCTCTATTTATAGGGGAGGAATTCAGCCTAAAACATCATGAATAAACTAGGAAGGAGTCTTCAATTTCTTGTGGGCTAATGAAACTTCTTCAACAATGCAAGGAAGAAGAGGTGGTAGGGCGGCGATAGGACCCGACATGGGTTTTCTTTGTGGGTTGGTCTTCATGGTCCATGGACTTCTCCTCCTAACGATTTGGACGCGTCTTGAGATGTCTCCTATAGTCAGTGGCAGAGCTAGAATTCGAAAATACATGTGTCCTCTTTTCAAAATATAAAAAAATATTAAATATAATTAAAAATAATAATATCCAAATAATTCATTCATATATAATAAAAGAAATAACCAATTAATACAATCATTATTTTCGTAAACAACCACGAGACATTTTCATATTCTGAGTTAAATTAAATTTATGTCAGCTTCTAAACAAGAAATGTCTTATAGTTTAGTGGTATAACACTCTTATATTATATAGAGATCATGAATCCAATACTTAGTTTATACATATATTGGGTACTTTTTTACCCCAGAAATTACCTGTGTCCTTGGACACATCCCAACCCCATTGGCTCTGCATATGCCTATAGTGGCAGTTGGGCTTGATGCTTGGTCGCCGCTCGTTCT